ATAACTATACTACTAATTATCTCTAATCTAGTATTAGCATAAGCACAATCAATTAAGCATATCAATTGCAATTATCATTAGATAATTTAAATAATTAAATCATGCATTAATCATATTCAGGTTCCGCTATATCTTGGAATAGGGAAATTACTCACACATATTCATGAATTCAAGAATGATATTCAATAAAGAAAACATAATTAACAATCATAAAATAAGAGAATTGAGAGAAGAAATTAATACTTGAAATTAATTGTGAAATCTTGAATCTTGAAAGTAAAACCCTAGAAAATAATGTAGAAGAACGTAATACCAAAAACTATCTAAAATAATGTATGTAAAAGTGATATATAAAAGACTATCTAAAACCTAATTATATGCTAGGAAAATAGTTGTCGTCTTTACACAAGATTAGGACTCTTAAAATCTAAAAAATAGAGCTAATTTCGTTGGTAATTATGTGGCCGCAACCGGGCTGCGGTACAAGACTGCGAGCCGCGGTACCACTACGGAGTAAGCTGCCTTCTATGTGTTTCTTGCTCCCTTGTGAAGTGCGCTGCAAGCAAGCTGCGGTAGGTCATGATAAACTGCAACCAAGCTGCGAACTAGGCTGTCCCCTTATGCTTTATAGCTCTTCCAACATATTAAATCCAACTTCCATGCTAAGTCTACATATTTTCCAAGCAAAAGCCTACAAAAACAAGAAAAATAACCCGAGGAGAGCAATAATCGAAATATATAATAAAATGAAGCTCAAATAATTTAATGTAGGGAGAAAATGCGACAAATATCACTTAAATATAGCATATAAAGTACGTAAATTATCGTGTTATCAAATTCCCCTACACTTAAATTTTACTCGTCCTCGAGTAAACAAACCTAAACTAACTTAGAAAGCAATAAATCCTAATACTCACTGTTGTAGGAATCACGATTGCACTTAACATGTGCAACAAGCCTTTAAACCCCTAAGCTACCCCAAAGGACGAGTATGGTCTCTTGAAGGTTTTCAGAAGGCATACCTACAAAGCCGAATCAAGAACTTCCAAACCAATTTGTTCAACCAAGTGATTAAATTGAAAACCAAAATCATTTTATTTCAAGATTCAACTTATGTATCACAAATCAATGGCATGGGTGAAACGATAAATTGTAGCACCCTTTAATGACCAACCAATCTTACCGCTTCCTTTCCTCAAGCTTTAACCTTCCCCAAGTATGCTCAACCATATTAGCTCATACCTCACATCAATTTCGTGACCTTTATCAAGCCTTGCACAAATTGCAAGGAAAATCAAGAGGACTTTTAAAGGGTAAGCTCGAGTGATAGGGTGAGAGAGATGTAAATTTGGGAATTTGGTGCTTAAAATCAATCCAATAAACACAAGTATGGAATCGACATATGCAATTTTTGTAATTCTTGCCACACCTTGTTAGCTTGTTTCCACATCAAACACCCCTTGCTTCAATAAACACAAGTATGGAATCGGCATATGCAATTTTTGTCTCATTCTTTGATGAATGTTGACAACAATATTTCCACTCACGAAATAACCTTGTACCTGCACAAAACAAAGAAAAAGGATAAGATTAATAGTAGTAAAATTGAGAAAAGGTAAAAAGAATTACCTGAACCACTAGTAAAATAGGGAAAAAGAACTATTCTACTACTACAAAAGCACGAAACTCCCAAATAAATGAAAACACAAAAGGACAAAAACACTAAGAGTAAAAAACAACTGGTAAAATAAAACTAATATTATAGGCTAATTGAAGAAAAACAAAATATAAAAAGCCTATATTAAAGGTAGAAATTTGGTTTACCTCCCAAAAGCGCTTGTTTTAGGTTTTTAGCTCGACCACCTTTCTTTATTAGTTGTCTTTTGACAGGTTTGAGAGTATAATGTCCATTCCCTCATCAATAGGGTCGCCAACTCGGTAGTTCTTCACTCTTTGGCCATTAGCCTTGAAAATCTCCCCTTTTGCATTACATGGTTCAATAGTACCGTAGGGATAGACTTTTTGAACCTTGAATGGACCCGAACACCTAGAACGAAGTTTCCCGGAAAATAGTTTCAATCTTGAATTAAATTAAAGGACTTGATCTCCTTCCTTAAATTCTCTTCTCACAAGACCCTTATCATGCCACCTTTTGATCTTTTCTTTGTACAATTTTGAACTTTCATAGGCTTCATGATGGAGCTCATCTAGCTCATTCAATTGTAACAATCTCTTTTCACCCGCTGCTTAGGCGTCGAAATTTAATCTCTTAATAGCCCAAAAAGCTCGGTGTTCTAGCTCGACAGGTAAATGGCACGCCTTTCCATACACAAGTCTATATGGGGTTGTACCAATTGGCGTTTTAAAAGCCGTTCGGTATGCCCATAGTGCATCATCAATCTTGGCCGACCAATCCTTTATTGTCCTTACAACCATTTTTTCCAAGATAGACTTGATTTCTCGATTAGATTCGACACCTCAACTTGGCACCAATAGTTTTTGGGTGATAACCAATGCCAAGTCTATGTTGCACTCCATATTTCTTCAACATTGCTTCAAATCGATGCTCCAAGAAATGTGTTCCCCTATCACTAATCAACACACGTGGTAAACCAAAACAAGGGAAAATAACTTTCTTGAAAAATTTACTCACCACACGAGCATCATTGGTAGGAGTAGCAATTGCTTCAACCCACTTTGAGACATAGTCAACGGCCACTAGAATATATCGATTTCCATAGGAAGAAGGGAATGGTTCCATAAAATTTATCCCCACATGTCAAACAACTCAACCTCGAGTATGTTATTGAGTGGCATCTCGTGCTTCATTGATATATTACCGATCCGTTGGCAACGATCACAGGCCTTGACATATGAATACACGTCCTTGAATAAAGTTGACCAATAGAAACCACATTGTAAAATCTTTGCTGTCGTTTTCATAGGACCTGCATGTCCACCACAAGGTAAGTCATGGCAATGAGAAATAATGTTGCTTGCCTCACTTTTCGGAACGCATCTTCTAATCATTGCATCCGCACATAATTTGTATAAGAATGGGTCCTCCTAGAAATGTCTCCTCGCCTCGTAAAAGAATTTCTTCTTTTGTTGAGATGAGTAACCATGAGGCAATGTACATGTGGACAAAAAGTTAGCTAAATCAGCATACCAAGGTGATTCAACTTGAGAAAAAGCTAATAAATTTTCATCAGGGAAAAAATCATCAAAAGGGAGGTCGTCTCCATCCCCCTTATCGAGAAGGAGTGAGAAAGATGGTCTGCAACGACATTCTTAGTCCTTTTTGTGTCCTTTATCTCGATGTCATAGTCTTACAACTGAAGGATCCAACGAATCAACTGCGGCTTGGCGTGACTTTTACTCATCAAATATTTCAATGCTGCATGATCTGTATGAATTAGGGTCCAATCCTGGGGTTGCATAACAAGAGCGGGGATCAAAGCTTCCTTCAATCTGTTAACAGCCTCAAGATAAGCATCAGTAAATATAAATGGGGCATCCTTGGCCAAAAGCTCAGTTATCGAGCGATTTTTGAAAAATCTTTGATAAATTGTCTATAAAATCCTGCATGACCAAGAAAGCTCTGAACTCCTTTTACAAAGTTAGGAGGGGGTAGTCGCTCAATGACCTTTATCTTTGCTTTATCAACCTCAATACCTTTATGTGATACCACATGGCTTAAAACAACTCCTTGTTGTACCATAAAATGGCATTTTTCCCAGTTTAAAATTAAATTAACTTCTTGACATCTATGGAGCACCTTTTTCAAATTTTCAAGACATACATCAAAAGATGTTCCATAGACAGAAAAGTCGTCCATAAACTTCCATTGAATTTTCAATAAGACCTGACAAAATTGCCATCATACAACGCTGGAACGTGGCTGGAGCATTACATAATCCAAATGGCATTCTTCGATAAGCGAAGGTGCCATAGGGAAATTTGAAAGTAGTCTTTTCCTGATCACATGGACGGATGGGAATTCGAAAAAACCTAGAATAGCCATCCAAGAAGCAGAAAAAGTAATGCTTAGCCAAACGTTCAAGCATCTGATCAATGAAGGGGAAGGGAAAATGGTCCTTTTGGGTGGCCTTATTCAACCTCCTCTAATCTAGTATTGACATAAGCACAATCAATTAAGCATATCAATTGCAATTATCATTAGAGAATTTAAAGAATTAAATCATGCATTAATCATATTCAAGTTTCGCTATATCTTGGAATAGGGAAATTACTCACACATATTCATGAATTCAAGAATGATATTCAATAAAGAAAAAATAATTAACAATCATAAAATAAGAGAATTGAGAGAAGAAATTATTTCTAGGAATTAATTATGAAATCTTGAATCTTGAAAGCAAAACCCTAGAAAATAATGTAGAAGAACGTAATACCAAAAACTCTCTAAAATAATGTATGTAAAAGTGATATATAAAAGACTATCTAAAACCTATTTATATGCTAGGAAAATAGTAGTCGTCTTTACACAAGATTAGGACTCTTAAAATCCCAAAAATAAAGCTAAATTGTTGGTAATTAAGTGGCCGCAACCGGGCTGCGGTACAAGGCCGCGAGCCGCGGTACTGCTACGGAGTAAGCTGCCTTCTATGTGTTTCTTGCTCCCTTGTGAAGTGCGCCGCAAGCAAGCTGCGGTAGGTCATGACAAACTACAACCAAGATGCGGATTAGGCTGTCCCCTTATGCTTTATAGCTCTTCCAACATATTAAATCCAACTTCCATGCTAACTCTACATATTTTCCAAGCAAAAGCCTACAAAAACAAGAAAAATAACCCGAGGAGAGCAAAAATCGAAATATATAACAAAATGAAGCTCAAATAGTTAAATGTAGGGAGAAAATGCGACAAATATCACATAAATATAGCATACAAAGTACGTAAATAATCGTGTTATCACAGGTCAATTTTGGGTCATTATTTTCGGGTCATGGATCGGATCATCCGGGTCGAGTCATCGGATATGGTCAAAATTGCCAGGTATATCCCGATCTAGTAAGTGAAACTAATATGAGAAGAAGAGAGTAAGAAGATAATTGGAGCCTTGTGACTGTTGTGACTCCTTGTGACTTTGTGAGCAGCTGTGGCCGCCTATCCAAATAAAGGGATATACTTTGACGCGGTGACCCCCTGGTTTTATAAAGCTTTACTGTAAAAAAAAGAAAAATGATCCTATAAGCTTAAAGACAGATGGATGTGGGCCTTACAAATTGGACGACATTTCATTTCATTCCTTTCATTCAAAATTGAACGCAACAATAATAAAGTTGGCAGTATCATATCATCACTTCTCACTCATTCACACACTCCTTCACTTTGCAATAACTAATTCATTATCCCACACGGTTACCCATTTCTGGTTTCTGGGTCGGATCCCATTTTCTCTCTCCTCAGGAACACTTGTTTTTTGGGTTAGTCTTTTCATCACTTCATTTGTTTTACTAATTTTGTTGTCAATTTGTTCAATTTCAGATTTATGCTTGTTTTTGCTTTATAAATAGTGTTTGTTTGAGTGAATTTTCGTGTTTGAATGCTTACTGTTTTAATTTGATTTAAAAGCTATATTTTTATTTTTATTATTTTATTATTTTTTTTTTATTGTGGGGTTGAGGAAATAATTTGGGTTTGCTATGCTTTCAATTTTGTCCCCAGTAGTTATTTGAATATGATTAAAGTGGTATCATGAATTAGTTTGAATTAGAATTAGAAGTAAGTTGGATTGTAATTCTATTGCATTGTCAAATTTGTTAATTTGGCTCAACTGGGTAGTAATTTCTGTTTGTCATGAAATGCCATTGAATTATTGATTTTGTCAAAGCTTGTTTTCGTAATTTTATTATATTATGTCCATAAATTTATGGGTTTTACCAATTTGTTGAACTTGAATGCAACACTTTGAGCCCCTGGGTATTCTATTGCCTATGTTGGATTTTAGGATATGTTCTGGTATGTTTTCGAAGAGATTTGGGTTGATAGGAATAAGTTAAATTAAACTTGTTTCGTGTTTTTGTTTATGATACATGTAAATTGTTTGTAGTTACATATACATTGGTTCTACAAGTAAAAACACCTGTGGGTGGTATTGTGCAAGACTGTGGGTAGGCATTTTGAGTAGTTAGTGAGGGTCATTTATTGGCAAAGTGGCTGTATTAGGGAATAAATCGTGTTTTTTTTTTGTGCATTACCTTAGCATTTATATTGTTGCTGCCATATTAAATTCAATTTGTCCTTGATATCCTTGTGTAGGATGGGAGGTGGAGTGAAAGAGTCCTGGTTTAGTAGTTTATGGGGGATTTCACGAAGAAATGGTTCGCATTCTGAGAAAGCTGTAATGGGAATTCTAGCTTTTGAGGTGTCAACTTTGATGTCTAAGGTTGCTAACTTATGGAATTGTTTGAGTGATAATTATATATCGCAGTTGAGGGAAGATGTTATTAACTCGCCTGGGATTGTAAAACTTGTATCAGATGACGAAAATTTTCTCATGAACCTTGCTTTTGCGGAAATAGTTGAGAATTTGTGGTACGCTGCACACTCTGTCACTAGGTTAGGAAAGAAATGCTCTAATCCCGTATATCATCGTTTGGACCAACTTTTAAGCAGCCCTCTTGAGAATTCTACTGAATTGTATGGATGGGAATATAGATGGAAGAAGATGGAGAAAAAAGTAAAGAAACTGGAGAGATTTGTTGCTGCTACTTCACAATTGCATCAAGAGATGGAGGTGCTGGTGGAGCTTGAACAAACATTGAGGAGAATGCAGTGCAATCCAGAAACCAGTCGAGTTAAATTGCTTGAATTTCAACAGAAGGTCATTTGGCAGCGTCAAGAGGTGAAAAACTTACGAGAAATGTCCCCTTGGTCTAGGACATATGACTACATAGTGCAGCTTTTGTCAAGATGTCTAGTTACTATAATTGAGAGGCTTAAACTTCTGCTTGGAATTAATGAAGTGATATACTTGGACAGAAATCATACGTCAGGGCCTAAGCCTACAGCTGGATCCCTCATTCGGAGCCGCTCATTTGTACACTCTTCTGTTTATCCCTCTGAAACTCATAGCTCTATCTTTTATTCAGGACCTTTGGTTAGGTCAAGCTCTTTACTGGGATTGCCTACTAGAAGTAAGAGAGCTAGCAAAAGGCAACAGAGACAGACTCTTCAGAATGAACAAAATCAACATAAAAAGTTTCCTTTTTTAAACACAAAACGGTTTGCTCAATCAGGACCATTTAAAGGATGCATGATTGCTGGAAGTAATTCTCCAGTAGTTGAGAGCTGTATGCCAACAAGCAGTGGGCCTTCAAGTTCCGTGGCTATTGTTTTGAGTGATGTGGATGGAAAATCAAACAAAATGGATCCCTCTTCTCATGACAACACATTTGCCTCAAGCAGCTCAGTTTATCTTTCACAGTGTATATTGTCAAATACTCCTCCATGTTCTCTGGGAAGTGCTGCCTTAAGTCTCCATTATGCAAATATTATTATATTAATTGAAAAGCTTGCTTCATCGCCTCACCTGATTTCCCATGATGCAAGGGAGGATCTGTACGATATGTTAACAACAAGCATAAGGAGCATGTTGAGGGCTAGACTAAAACTGTACACCAAATCCTTTGCTTCCTCAGCCTATGATTCTGCCCTTGCTACGGAATGGAGTCTGGCAATAGCGAGAATGTTGGAATGGCTTTCTCCTCTTGCGCATAACACAGTTAGATGGCACTCTGAAAGGAATTATGAGAAGCAGCATACTGTTTCCCGTGGGAATCTTCTTCTAGTGCAGACTTTGTATTTTGCAAATCAATCGAAGACTGAAGCTGCAATTATAGAACTTTTGTTGGGTTTGAACTATCTATATAGATTTGGCAAAGACGTGAATGAGATGGTTTTCTTGGAAGCGAGTGGTAACCGAGTTTACGATGAATATGCAATTCAGACAGATACTATTGCTTGCAATGCTTGATAAAATGGGGCAGACCTTCTTGGTTTATCTAATGATAGTGGTACACATACAGAGAAGTGCCATCCCGGACTCACTTGTATGGAGAAACCTTTGTTTCACACAGCAAGGAATCCATTGGAGATAGCAGATGAGTTAACCATCTTTTTATACAATAGCTATACATTGTTTAACTGTGTCTTAGATTGCATAACTTGTTCTCCCTTCTTCTTGCCAATCTGTAGCCATCATATTAGACTGTTGTAAAGCATAGTTTATATTTTACATGAGATGTGCGACGTGTAACCTCAGAATTTAAGTTTGATGTCTTCTTCCTTTGCTTGTGTAAGTATCAGTCTGGCTTCTACTATGCAGATTTTCATCTTTTCTGCTCTAACCTTGTCAATTTCAATTTAATTCTCATTTGAATATATATATTTTTGTTGGTTAAATATTTTTAATGTGATGGGTAAAGCAGGCTGATTTTTTTGTTGGAAGGTGGAGATGGAGAGAAGACCACATTTCATTTGATAGGAATAGAATGTCTTTTTTAATTTTTAATTTTCAAACTCGGATGTTGAGTGGTGGTTATTGTTTCTGTTGTAGACCTACATCATATAAGGCTTGTTCCACATGCCATCTCAATTTTAGCGTTCAGTCCTTTAGTGGTTGTGCTGAAGCAAAAATGCCTTCTGTCTGGTGATGGTATAATGAGTTTTGTAAGCTGCCTTGTAGGTTCACATGTCCCAATTTTGACTGCTGTTTATAGTACTATGTTTTTGCTGATGAAGACCATTATGGTTCTCATTTAGAGAAGTGCATTTTTCAGATAGCTACTGATCTTTGTTGTTGGTCTCCTAGCTGTCTTGTTCTCTGGTTGTTGGTTTAGTTTTGGATTGTCATGGACCTGAGTAGGGGTGAGCAAAGACCCAGGGTACCCGGTACCGGACCCGGAACCGGTTAGGATCCGCCGGGTCCGGACCCGGAACTGGTCCCACCGGTTCCGGGACCGGGTCCAAAATGTCGGACCCGGTTGTAACCGGTTCCGGGACCGGGTCCTAAAATTTCGGACCCGGTACCCACTGGGTACCCGGTTTAAACCAATTCCAGTTCCGGGTACCCGGTCCCGGATCCAGACAATCCGGGTACCCGGAACCGGTACTGATTTAGTTATAAAAAATTATTTTTTTTTAAAAAACCCAACAATCCACAGTCCAATACAACATTAGGCCCATTTCATCCAACTCATTTCTGCTAGGGTTTCTGTCAGCCACTAAGCCTCCTCATTTCATTGAATTCATTTTTGCTAGGGTTTTGTTCTTCTCTGTTCATTCTCAATCTTCTCTGTTCTCCTCTGAAAATCTCATCTTGTCTTCTTTCGTTCTCATCAATTCACTGATTCTCGGTCTTCTTTCGTAAGTATTTTTCTCTTGGTACTCAAAATCTCATCCTCTCTTTCGTTCTCATCAAGCCACCGAACGACTGTCTCTTTCGTAAGTATTTTTCTCACTTTGTTTGCTTTTTGTTTCATCTTGCATATGTAGATCTCTGGTACTGTTTATTACTGCTTGCATTTTCTTTGGAGATAGTTAGAGTGTTTATGTTAATTTTAATTTTTATTTTCTTCAATTTCTGAGGGTGTTACGAGTGTTTAATATGCTGAAATCAATGAATTGGTACAAATTGACTGCACTTATAGTCTTTTTCTGCAATTTCTGGGTGTTTGAATAGATTCTTATTGAGTATTAATTGGTGGGTACCATTTTTAGTTGCTGTACATGTTTAGTTCAGTCATTGCTTTTATAGAAGTTGTTGTTTGGCTGTTAACATTGTGGTGTTGATCTCAGTACATGAGGTGGGTACACTGGGGTTTCGTTTTAATGATGTTATGTTTGCTGCTTGCATTCTCCCTGATAGAGTTAAAAACATTGGAAGAAACAGAGTCAATAACTCAATGTTCTATCTTTTGGCTTTTACCACTTGCGATGGATTAGTGGAAAAATTTCTTTAGAGGAGATATTTCCCAAAGTTCAAAAATTTTTTGTTGAATTTTTTTCCTGACTGAATGATTAAATAAAAAAATCATACTACACTACACTACAATCCCATCTTCTGATCACATTCACCTTGCATCTTTGCAATAGTGTTTTTTTTTTTTTTTTTTTTTAATCTAGTTATCATGATATTGGTTTACCTTGTTTTTTTTCAGATTTTCAGATCTATTTCTTGTTTTATTGAGCTGGTCTTTTCTGAAATTTGTAGTTGTGGAGAAAGATGTAGATGGTGATGCATAGGGGTGAAAGTGAATCGGTGTAAAACCGAACCGAATCGAAAAACCAAACCGAATAAGGAATGTGGTTCGGTTTTTTGGGAGGGTGGTTCGGTTTCGGTGTCAAAAATAAAAAAATTTCGGTTTTCGGTTCGGTTTCGGTTCGGGAAATTGAAAAACCGAACAAAACCGAACCAAACTGAATTATAAGCCCAATCCTACAAAACCCCTGCCTGGCCCAAAACTAAATACCCTAGGTATATAATGAAAAAATAAAAAAAACCCTAATTCCTCTAATCCTCTCAGCCTTTCTCCACTCTTTCGTCCTCCCTCCTGTCTGACTGTCTCCTCTGAGTCTCCGACCACCGTCCAGTACACCAGGACACCAGGCGACCACCGTCAACGGTCCACCTGCTTCTCTCTCTCCTGTCTTCTCCTACTAATTAAGGTATGAAATATGCAATTTGCGAATTCAATTTGCGATTTTAATCGTTTCTCTACTTACTTGCTCTCTCCTGTCTTCTCCTACTAAAGTACTAAATACTAATCGTTGCTACTGCATGTTCAATTGTGAATTGCGATTTTAATTTGCGATTTTAACTTGCGATTTTACTTGCTACATTTTAATTTGTGAAGAATATGGCAATTGGTGATGCTAAAATTGATGAAGTGGTCGAAATACTTGAGTGATTGCTCTGTGCTGCTACTGCTGTGTTGATATGCTGCTACTGGCCTACTGTGTTGATGTTCTGCTGGCTGCTGCTACTGTTCTGCTGTTCTGTTGCTACTGTTCTGCTGTTCTGTTGCTACTGCTTTGCTGCCTGCTGGATTGATCTATTCTGCTGGCTGCTGCTATTGTTCTGCTGTTCTGCTGGCTGTAATGTTGCTGAATGTTGATCATGTTATGTTTAACTTAAGTAGTTCTGTTAAAACTTGTTTAATTTGAGTTTGTATGGATTGATTGGTTTGATTTGATACTTTGTTAGTTTGTTATTTAAACTGAAAACTTAAGTTTGTATGATTTGGATTGGTTTGTAGACTTTGTACTTTGTATGAATTGGACTAAATTTGTTTGCTGTTATATTTGTTAATTTGCACTGCTTGCTGTGTTAGTGAGAATAGTGACTTAGTGTGTTGATTAATGAGGCCCAATTTGCAGATTATTGGCCCAAATAAAAGAGGCCCAAAAAAATCGGTTTGGTTCGGTTTTTTATTCTGAAACCGAAATAAATATGGTTCGGTTTGGTTCGGTTTCTAAAGTAAAGTGGTGCGGTGTGGTTTCTAAAATCAAGAAACCGAATTAAGGTGGTTCGGTTTCGGTTTGGGCCAAAAACCAAACCGAACACCGAACTTTCACCCCTAGTGATGCATGTGCAGGAACTACAGTTGGATTTCTATGTAGAATTCTGCTTGTTTAAAAGGTTTTTATAGAGGAGAAAGTGTTTCAACAACTAAAGGAACCTTCTTTTCATAAGATTAATTACCATTTTTTCTTTATTAAGTTCCAATTCCTTTTTGTATTCTTCATGAAGATGATGTACTAGGATCTGTGCATATTGTCTCTCCTTTCTTTCTTTGTGTTTATGTGAGTGAGACAATATCAGTTCTGACTGTTGTATGTATTTGTGTAATGCATATAATCACTCTCACTTTGTGTAATGTTTATGTCTTATTAAAGTTTAATTTGTTCCTATTTCAGAACTATGAGCAATACCGACAATTCGTCAGTCCCTATGGATGATGAAAGTGAGGTTGGAAACGAGAATGCAACAACCAAATCAACCAAGGTTGGTGACAAGAGGAAGTCTGAATACTGGAACCATTTTTGGGATTTTAGAGATCCAGTAACCAAAAAAATTGTTCAAGTCAAATGCAAATATTGTGAGAAAATGCTAACAGGTAATACTAATAATGGAACTTCTTCATTAAAGAAACACCTTGGTGCATGTTCAAAATACCCTCCAAATGTAGACAAAAAGCAAAAACTCATTTCTGTTTACAAGTCTCCTGAATCTGATGCTACTATAGTCTCTAATTGGAAATTTGATGAAACTGCTTGTAGACTTGGTTTGGCAAGAATGGTTATTGTTGATGAACAACCATTTTCTATTGTTGAGCGTGAAGGTTTTAGGTATTTTTGTAGTGTTGCTGTACCTCAATTTCATATACCTTCACGTTTTACAGTTGCAAGAGATGTGAAGAATATATTTGTTTGTGAAAGTGGAAAATTAAAGAAATTAATTGGGTGTTTGAAATCGAGAGTGTCACTAACAACTGATTGTTGGACCTCCATTCAAAATTTTAATTATCTTTGTTTGACTGCTCATTTTATTGATGATAATTGGAAGTTGCATAAAAGAATTTTAAATTTTCAATTAATGGATAGTCATAAAGGTAAGGAAATTGGAAAAGTTGTGGAGGCATGTATTCTTAAATGGGAGATTGAGGATCGATTGTTTTCTTTAACTGTTGATAATGCTAGTTCAAATGATGTGGCGGTTGGATATTTGAAAACACATTTTCATGATAAACTTGTTTTGGAGGGTTCATTTTTTCATATGAGATGTGCTTGTCATGTTCTAAATTTGATTGTGAAAGATGGTTTATCTAGTGTGAAGTCTTCGATTGCTCGAATTCGTGCTGCTGTTAGATATGTGAGGAGTTCACCTTCTAGAGCTAAATTGTTTGCACACTCTTCTATGTTGGTTAAAGTTTCTTGTAAAGGTTCAGTTTGTCTTGATGTGGCAACTAGATGGAATTCTACCTTTCTCATGCTTGAAACCGCATTGAAATTTGAAAAAGCTTTTAATAGGTTTGCGGAAGATGATCCTGATTTTAGTAGGGAACTCAAGGATGGAGTACCTACACAAGAAGATTGGGTAAATGCTAAAGTGTTGTCTTTGTGTTTGAAATTATTTTATGAGTCTACAAAGAAAATGTCGGGTAGTTTATATGTTACTACAAACTTGTATTTTCACGAGGTTTTGGAGGTGTTAAGTTGTTTGATAGAATGGGAAAACTCTACAAATATGGATATTCGTATTATGGGTAGACAAATGAGGGAAAAGTTTGATAAGTATTATGGGGATCTCGGTAAAACTAATATCATGATGTTAGTTGCGGT